TGGAGCGTGGTTCTTGGGTCAGGGTTCTCCCATGATGCTACCTATCCAGATGGATGTCAAAAAGGTTCAGGGCATTGCGAAAATTGTAAGGTTTGACTAGGAAGCCTGAGGAATCAGAAGTTCCAAAGATGGCGCCACCACTTATATGCCTGGCAAGTTGGTGTTGGCTGTGAGCAGGAGCCTCAGTTCCTTGACACGTGGAGCTCTCCATAGGCTTCTTGGAATGTTCTCCTTTTTTTTTTTTTTTTTTTGAGATGGAGTCTCGCTCTGTTACTCAAGCTGGAGGTGCAGTGGCGCGATCTCAGCTTAGCTGAGATTTATAGACATGAGCCACCCCACTCAGCCCCAAATTTCTAATCCACAGGCACTGTGAGAAAATAGTTATTCCTTTAGGCCCCTGAGTTTTAGAAAAACGTGTTACATAGCTACAGATAACTAACACAGTGCATAAAATGCTTAGAATGGGCCGGGTATGGTGGCTCACGGCTGTAATCCCGGCATTTTGAGAGGCCAAGGTGGGTGGATCACCTGAGATTAGGAGTTCAAGACCAGACTGGCCAACATGGTGGAACTCCATCTCTACAAAAATACAAAGTTAGCCGGGCATGGTGGCACACGCCTGTAATCCCAGCTATTTGGGAGGCTGAGGCAGGAGAATTGTTTGAACCCGGGAGACGGAGGCTGCAGTGAGCTAAGATCGTGCCACTGCACTCCAGCCTGGGCAACAGAGCGAGACTCCATCTCAAAAAAAAAAAAATGCTTAGACCGTCTGACACGCTGTCTCCGTACACATTAGCCATCATTAACTCCATTTTGCAGGCAGTAGGACTGAGGCTCAGCTTGCTGAAGTAATGTGCCCCGTGCACATGGCTAGGATGGACCTGGCCAGCCATGTCATAAACCCAAGACATTTAGTGCCACGTCCTAGGCTCCTTTTTCTGTCCCACTGAACCAGTTATCTGTTTTGAAGGAATAATACCCAGTGGCATAAAAATCACTGTTTGATCATTCTCCTGGACTTTGTGAGTCAGGAATTCCAGCAGGACACTGTGCAGATGGTTAATCTCTGCTTTACAATATCTGGGGTCTTAGTAGGAAAATAAAAGTCTGGAGGTAACTGGACATCTGAGCGCTGCAATATCACTCGTATGTGTTTCAGGAGATGCTGGCGTTTGGTTGGGACCCCTCATATGGACCCTTCCTGAAACCTGGGCCTCCTCAGAGATGGTGACTAGGTTCTAGACTGAGTACCCCAAGAGACAGCGGAAGCTGCCAGTTCCTTAAGGGGTGGGCCCAGAAAGTGGCATAGTGTCACTTCTCCCACATTCTATTGGTCAGCCAGACACAGACCCCAGATTCAAGGGAAGGATCCATAGAACCTGCCTCTCCATGGAAGGCAGGTCAGAGAGGATTTGGGGGCCATTTGAAAATGTTTCTGCACCCACAGCAGCCTCCCTTGTTTGGGAGGTGCTCAGAAAAACCAGCCCTGCAGACCATACTCCAGTAGACTGGCTTTATGTGCACAGAAAGAAACACAGGCCCGGTGCTGTGGCTCTTGCCTGTAATCCCAGCACTTTGGGAGGCCGAGGTGGGCGGATCACCTGAGCTCAGGAGTTCAAGACCAGAATGAGCAATATAGTGAGATGGTCTCTACCAAAAATTTCAAAATAGCAGGGTGTGGTGACATGTGCCTATAGACCAGCTACTTGGGAGGCTGAGGTAGGAGGATTGCTTGAGCCGGGGAGGCTAAGGCTGCAGTGAGCTGTGACTGCACCAGTACACTCCAGCCTGGACTACAGAGTGAGGCCCTGTCTCAATAAATAAATAAATAGGCTGGGCGCAGTGGCTTACGCCTGTAATCCCAGCACTTTGGGAGGCCGAGGCAGGCGGATCACAAGGTCAGGAGATCGAGACCATCCTGGCTA